GTCTGAATGCTTGATGACGATCCGACGCTGGCGGCGTTACCGATGAGCATCTCGGCATTCAAGTGCCTACGCAGGGGACCCCGACCTTTTGGCAGGCGTTTTTCCCTACCTAGGCTCTGCCTAGAAGGGTTCTTACTCTCTAGCTTAAAGGGGCCGGGCAGTGCTACACGCCACGGGCGGTTCCCCCAGTCCCCGCCCCGCGGTTCCCCCAGTCCCCTGGGAGTTTTAGCCTTAGCTTTAGCTTTAGTTTAGCTTTAGCTTTAGCTCTAGCTTTAGCTTAGCTTTAGCTTAGCTTCAGCTTAGTGTTAGCTTAACTTTAGCTTTAGCTTAGCTGTAGCTTAGCTTTAGCTTAGCTTTAGCTTAGCTTCAGCTTAGTGTTAGCTTAGTTTTAGATTAGCTTTAGTTTAGCTTTAGCTTAGCTTTAGCTTAGCTTTAGCTTATATTTAGCTTAACTTTAGCGTAGCTTTAGCTTAGCTTCAGCTTAGCTTTAGCTTAGTGTTAGCTTAGCCTTAGCTTAGCTTTAGCTTAGCTTTATCTTAGCTTAGCTTTAGCTTAGCTTTAGCTTAGCTTTAGCTTAGCTTCAGCTTAGCTTCAGCTTAGTGTTAGCTTAGCTTTAGCTTAGCTTTAGCTTAGCTTCAGCTTAGCTTCAGCTTAGCTTTAGCTTAGTGTTAGCTTAGCCTTAGCTTAGCTTTAGCTTAGCTTTAGCTTAGCTTTAGCTTAGCTTTAGCTTAGCTTTAGCTTAGCTTTCGCTTAGCTTTAGCTTAGCTTTAGTTTTAGCTTAGCTTCAGCTTAGTGTTAGCTTAGCTTTAGCTTAGCTTTAGCTTAGCCTTAGCTTAGCTTTAGCTTAGCCTCAGCTTAGCTTCAGCTTAGCGTCAGCTTAGCGTCAGCTTAGCGTCAGCTTAGCGTTAGCTTAGCCTTAGCTTAGCTTTAGCTTAGCTTCAGCTTAGCTTCAGCTTAGCTTTCGCTTAGCTTTAGCTTAGATTTACCTTAGCTTTAACTTAGATTTAGCTTATAGTTAGCTTTAGCTGTAGCTTAGCTTTAGCTTAGCTTTAGCTTAGCTGCAGCTTAGCTTTCGCTTAGCTTTAGCTTAGTGCTGGCTTAGCCTTAGCTTAGCTTTAGCTTAGCTTCAGCTTAGCTTCAGCTTAGCTTTAGCTTAGCTTTAGCTTAGCTTTAGCTTAGCTTTAGCTTAGCTTTAGCTTAGCTTTACTGTTACTACTAATGCTGCTTTCCTAGGGGCTCCAACTCCTAGGTAGGGTCGCACTGGGATATTTTTTTTACCCTCGAGCGTTTCAGCCCGCCTCACGGCCTGGAAGTGGCAGTCAAGTATTGGACGCCCGAAGTATCCGGGATGCTTGCGGTCCTGGTTTTTGGGCCCCGAGGAGTGAATCCGTAGTTGATGGGCAAGTTTTCCATTACCGCTACCATAGGTAGGAGAGGGAGGAGGAGGAGGAGGAGGAGGAGGAGGAGGAGGAGGAGGAGGACCTCCCCATCCTCTCTTCTCCCCCGTCCTACCTATGGTAGTGATGGTGGACAGTTGGCCCATCAGTAGTTATCCCTGACTGCCCCCAGCCCGGATGGTTTGGGGCTCTGAGACTTGTCCCTGGTCCAGAAAGTGAAACAGTAAGGTTTCAAAGGTCCGGCCAACCCTTGTCGGCAACGGAGGAGGGGTGAGCGGAAGGGGGGTTAGAAAACGGGACCGACTTGTCAGGCAGGCCTCGTGCACACAGAGGGGCCAGGTCAACTACCACGCCCGATTAAGCTAAGCGCGAGAATGAAGACCTCACCCATCGCCCCACCATGTGGCCATTGCACCGAGAGGAACCTTCAAGGCTTGAGGAAATATTGTTCAGAGAGTTCATAATAATGCCTCCAAGGGAGCAAGGTCGCTCTTACAGCATTGGCGCCACCCCTCTGATCGGGAAAGGTATTGCTCTCGCCTCGGCGCTGGCCACATCCCAAATTGGGAACGCTGCTTTCGCCTCAGCGCCGTCCACATGCCTGATTTAGGACTTGTGCTCTCGCTTTACCGCCGACCCCTTCCTTCATCGGTGGTGCATTCCAGCTTGATGCGTGCATTGGCGCCATCCCGAGGGCTCCAAGAAGTCCGCACCCGACTCAGCCGTCCCATCTCCGCCGCCTGACTCCTCAGTGGAATGGCCCATGCGGAGGAGCCCGCAGCACGGGCCAGGGAGTGAACAAGACGATGCTGTGGCCATCGGAGCCTAGGGTATCGGGTTGGGTCGGGTCGGCCAGCCCCTTGCCTCCCCCTTAAGCTGTGACAGTCCCTCCTCCTCCTCCTCCTCCTCCTCCTTGTCCTCCTCCTCCTCCTCCTCCTCCTCCTCCTCCTCCTCCTCCTCCCCCTCCTCCTCCTACTGCTTGCTCCTCTTCTGCCTCTTCCCTTCCCTCGGGTGTGCCAACCCCTTGCCTTCCCCGTCAAGTTGTGATAGTCCTCCTCCGTCCTCATCCCCTGTCAGCATCCAGGCCCCATGCCCGCCAATGATCTACTGCCACAACTGTCACCGAGGGAGGGAGTCAAGAGGGGAAAGCAGCGAGAGTTCGTGGACAGCTGCGAAAATAAGACAATGCCCTTCTGCGAATGTGGCGTTGGACACGGCCCTAGATTGAACGTCGCAGGATGTCAATTCCTTCCCATCCTCCCTCCCTCCGCAGTCCCGCCTCATCCCGCCCACCCTGGATGTCCTGGCCCGCCTCCGAGAGGACGCGGGCGGCGCCGGGGGGCGCAAGAAGGACAAGGGCGAGAAGGACCGGGACAAGGAGCGCCGCGAGGATCGTGGGCGCGACCGCGAGGACTCCACGGGCGAAGAATGGTATCGGATGCAGCCTGCTGTTGCAGCTGCTGCTGCCGGTCCGCCTCCGTGTCCTCATCCTTTCCTATTGTCGTCGTTGTCGTCGTCCTCTTCTATCCTCCGCCTCCTCGCCCGACGATAGTGGCGCCACGTGAGGGGGTGCAGTGTCCAGCCATGTTGGCTGTCCCATTGAAGAGAGGAGGACGAATGCGGAGGACGAAGGCGACTTGGAGACAGATGGACAAGACGAGCACGATGCGGAGGAGGAGGATGCTGAGGAGGAAGCGGACGATACGGAGGGGAAGCGGGGGAGGGGGAGTGGATGTGTGAGAGTTGGAGGGGAGCAGGAGGAGGGGGAGGGATGGGGGAGCAGGATGATGAGGGTGGGGGAGCGGCTGAGGGTGGGGGAGCGGCTGAGCGGGCTTTGCAGGAGGAGGAGGAGGAGGAGGAGGCGGAGGAGGAGGAGGAGGAGGAGGAGGAGGAGGAGGAGGGAGGAGGGGGAGGAGGAGGGAGAGGGGCAGGAGGAGGAGAAGGAGGAGGAGGAGGACCAGGATCAGGACGAGCAGAATTACGTGGGAGTGCAGGGATGGGGAGGCTGACTGAGGAGGCGGGCATGCTTCATGTCGTCCTCCGTCCGCCGAGAGGATGCCCCTCGCAGAGGGGACCGCGAGAGGAACCGCAGCCGCAGCCGGAGGCGGCGGTGAGCGCTGCGCCTCGGCGAGCCAGGCAGCCCAACATATGCGCTCCCGTGGGGCGTGTCGGCGCCTGAGGTCGAGACGGGGCGGGGGCCAGATGACGGCGGGGTCAACGGGGCGGGGAGGGGGGGATGAGGATGAGGGCCACGGGGAGATAGGGTGGATGGGCGAGTTGGGTGGGGGAGGGGAGGGGAGTTGGATGAGGGCCACGGGGGCGAGGGCTACGTGGAGTTGGGTGGGGGAGGGGAGGGGAGGTGAGGAGGAGGAGGAGAAGGAGGAGGAGGAGGAGGAGAAGGCAGAGGAGGAGGAAGAGGAGTAGGAGGAGGCGGAGGAGTCAGAGAAGGACGAGGACCAGGACACGGACCAGGACTAGGACGAGGACGAGGAAGAGGGGGATGAGGAGGTGGGAGTAGGTGAATAGGTGAGTAGATGTGCAGGTGCATGGGAGAGAAGGAGCAGGAGTAGCAGTATGAAGGAGGCGTGCCTCCCGCTCAAACAAAGCTTATACCAAGGAAGGAGGAGGAAGATGAGGCGGCGGATTATCCATAGGACTACCCAAGCCCACTCAGTCGGCACCCGCTACTTCGGGGGGGACGTCATCTGAGTGGCCACACTTCCGAAACACGCTGGCACGTGTACACTCTTTCGCCAGGTTCTTCAAACGTCCTCTCCTCTGCAACGCCCAACACCCGCATGTATTGCGCGCGCGCACACACACACACACACTCACACGGAGCATTGGTCACAAGAGGCCATGCCATGGGAGGGGTGGTCAATGTTAGTACCCATGGCCGAAAGCACCTGCTGGGGTTGGGGGGCAGGACAATGGGAGCCAAGCCAAGTCTGCAACACACGAGTTTTAGAGGCCTTGCTGGCACTGTTCTTATGACAATGCACACAAGTGAAGCGAGTTAGCACACGACACGGCACGACACACGCACACAATGCACACGACACGCATGTAGGAGCTGCCTTCTTGAGCACGGGCGAGGGCGTTCGGCCCGGTTCCTCTTGGAGGAGGAGGCGGAGGAAGAGGTGGACGCGGAGGAGGAGGAGGAGGAGGAGGAGGAGGAGGAGGAGGAGGAGGACGGGGCGGCGGAGGATGCCGACCTGCCAGGTCCCAGGCGTTTATCGCGGACGAGCCCCTGAACTTTCCGATTGCGCTATGACGCTTGCGCTGGTGCGTGGGGCGCGGTTTCGCCGGCCTTGGCGGCGGCGGCATGGACTCTGAGTAATGTTGTGACGGCGCATGTGTTTTTCTCTGCAGCTGCTGCTTTCCTTCCCATCCGCGTCCCCACCTCCGTCCGCGCTGTCGCTCCCTCTCGATCTTCTTCATCCTCGTTCCTACAACCCCTTCCTCTCTTCCCCTTGATCGCCCGAGGAGCGTTCCGCCTCCCACAGCTCGAGTCCCCCGGGACGGCGCTGGTGGACGAGCAGCTTGCGAGTTATCAAGTTTACGATGCTTTGGATGTGAGCTCCCAGCTGCCATATCGAGTGCTCTCCTACCCCTGAGACGGCACACATGATGGCGAGGAAGGGGGGATGAGGAAAAGAGGGGAAGGCCAGGACGCGGACGAGGACGAGCAGCAGCGTGACGAGGGGGTCTTCCGCTCGCGCGCGTGTGTGTGTGTGTGTGTGTGTGTGTGTGTGTGTGTTCGCATGTTGATGGTATGTTCGCCTCTCTCCTGCCGTTCGCTCTCTCGGGCCCCTCCTACCCCGTCTGCCACTTCAGCGGCCCTTACATCGCCCTACCTCTCCTCTTCCTCCTCCTTCTCCTCCTCTTCCTCCTCTTCTGTCCTCCTCCCTCCTTCTCCTCCTCTTCCTGCTCCTCCTCCTCCTCCTCCTCCTCCTCCTCCTCCTCCTCGTCCTCCTCATCCTCCTCTCTGCTCCTCCTCCGTGCTCCTGTCCCTACTTCCTCCCCCCTCCTCCCGCAACCACCCCTGTTCGGCTCGCCTGCCGCTGGTCACTTCCCCTTTTCCCCTATTCCCCCCCATGGGGCCGAAGCCAAGAGTTCCTCGATGGTCCCGCCTGCTGCCAAGCGCCGTGCGGAGTCTGCTTGCAATTGGAACTGTCGTTTATACAAGCACCTCGCTTCCAACGCGCCTAAGTGGAACGCGGCGACGGCTCCCAGCTGTGGCAAGTGTGGGCGGTGCGAGGTCACGTGCTTCGGTGGAGCTGTGGCGCCAGCGAGCCCCTCGGCTTCCAAGCGCCAGCGGGAGGACGCTGTTACGATGACTTGGGCGCTCAAGAGGTCCGACCGCGAAGTTGCTGAGATGTCCCAGACAGTCAAGCGTCTCGACTCGCGGGCCAGCCAGCTGGCCCAGGCCCAACGCGAGAAGGAGAAGCCTGCAGCGAAGGACAATGGGGCCATGGGGTGCTTTCAGATGGCGACAGGAGGCTGGAGATCAAGGCGCCCGACAAGTAGACCGAGGCTGCGGTGCAGCCGTCCAAGTCGTTCGACGCGCAGTCCAGCCACCACGCCTTCTGAGTCAAGACGGCGGATGCGCTTCGGGCCACCCGTGAGCCTCATCGCGCCCAGTTACTCACCGCACGGACCAGATCGACCGTGCGCAACTGGCGACTGCCGAGGCGCTCGACAGGCAGATTGCATTCATCGCGGAACTCAGTTTGGAGTGCGAGGCCAAAGAGAAAACTATCGGTGACCAGCGGATTGAGGTCGAGGGCCTCAATGCCGACCTCCACCAGCTAACCCCCAGCCAGTTGCGAGCTCCTGAGGTGCCAGACGCGGGCCAGCAGGTACAGGTCTTTGGCGTCGACGCGTCCAAACCGGGCGCGATCGTGGCGGAGCTTGGGGTCGACCGGGCCACTGCGATCGATGTCGCCCCCGCACTGGCCAGCTTGGTGGCGGAGTTCGCCGCCAGGTCCGTCGGCCGGTTGATCCCCGCCCAGGCCGTGGGCGCCTCGTTGCCTGCTCTTGCCCGCCCGGGCGAGGCGCCCGCGGCGGGCTTGGGGCGGGGCCCGCGGCGGGCCCCTCGCGGGGCCCCAGCTCCCCCCCGAAATTGGAAGGGCCCGAGTTCGCGCAGCTCGACGAGTTCTTGGCGCGGGGGCCACCCAAAGGGGCGAACCTTCCAGATCTGATTGGCAAGCATGCTGCAGCCAGGCGCCTCGCCCTCGCCTCCGCTGCCTCCCCGTTCGCCCCGTGCAAGCTCGATGGCGCTGGGCAGAGTGGGCAGACCTCGATGGCCGCAGGCCGGTCGGGCAGGAAACATGGCCCGAGCGAGCAGAGTGGCACTGATGTTGGGCGGGCGCCGCGACGGCCGGAGTCGGCCAGCGCGCCGAAGAGCCAGGCCTGCCCGCTGGAGGACGCGCGCTCGGACTCCGATAGCGGCGCCATAACAAGTGCGGCTGCTGCTGGGAATCGCGCCGCTGGAGCTGGCGCTCCTGCTGCCGCGGTTGGAGCTCGAAGAGGCTCTGGGCTCTGGGCCGCCGAGCGAGCAGGGGGCGGAGGTCAAGGTCAAGGGCTGCTTCGAGCCGGCCGACGGCGATAACGTTGGCCCTCTCAAGGCCTACCTCATGGGTCTCAGCTCAGACTGCATGGCGGCGGCGGCCATTGGCGCCGGCCGCCGCTGGAGGGTCTGTCGTAGCTCGGGCGCGACCTGCTGGGCGCGTCGTCGCTCCAGCCCACGCCGCGGTCCAAGGAGGCACGTCGGGGGGGGGGGCGGCGATCCTCTGCCCCCAGCACGTGACTCCCGCGGCCCCGTCAGGGCCGCCAGATGGCTGGGTGGATGGCCAGCGCGGAGCCCTGTGCAATGGCAGATTAGCTGCTGCCCACGTGCGCTGGGGGCCACCAGGGAAGGGTCGTCGTCATCTTGGTCTACCTCCACATGGCAGTGAGCGCGGGGCACCAGCACGCGACCATCCTGCAGGCACTGGCAGGATATATCTGGCCTACCTCATCGGCGAGGGCCTGGACTGGATCGCGATGCGAGACTGTAACAGGACGCCCGACGAGCTCGACCAAGCATGGACTGGGCCAGTCCAGGGCATCGTGGCCGCGCCCGAGGTTCCCGCGCGCATGGCGTCGCTGCCCGACGGGATCCTGTATGGCGCTGTCTGCGCCCTGAACCTCTTGACGCGAACCCGTCCGCTCGAGGACGACGAGGCTGCGCCGTTGCCGGTGCGCTCCGATTTCCGGTCGCCCATCTTGGCAACCGGGATGGGGTTCTGGCGACGGGTCCCGCGCGAGCTTGCAGTCGTCGCGCCAGTCGAGCCTGGGCGCCCGAAGTGCCGCCCCCATTACCTCCTGTTGGAGCCAGCCCCAAGGGCGGATGGCGCGGGCCAGCGGGGGCGAGGATCCCCAGCGCTGCCAGGGTGGACTCTTCGGGGGGGGGTGAGTCTGCGCTGCTCGACCGATGTGGCGCCGTGGACAGTCGTGCCAGAGGGCGCCGCGATGGCGGGGAGTTGCCACCATAGACTTCTCGGGCGAGGCTACGCCGGGAGCCCCCTGCCAAGAGGCTCCGCCCCGCGGATGAGGCGTTGGCCTGGACTTCGGCGGCCGGCCGGACCAATCGCGCCGCGCGAGCGCGCGTCCACCTCGCCGAGCCCTTCCCCATGATGGCGCAAGGGCCCTGCCCCGCGCGCCCTTGGAACGTCCGAGAACATCGCGCAGCTCCTCGCCTTCTCCCAGCGGGTCGCCAAGGCGAGGGGCGAGGCATCGCTGGCAGCTCGTCTCGCCCGAGCTTCGGCGCCTCTTCGCCCTCGTCCTCGAACCCCCTCACTGCGCCGAACTTCGGGGAGGGGGGGGCCAGCGTGTCTCCAGTGACATGGAGCTGCATGCTTCGCGCGCCTGCGAGGTCTCTGCGACGTGGAGAGCCCGGGCCCCCGACGCTTCTGCCCATGGAGCTGTAAGAGCCCACCGTGTTTCCAAGGCCCAGGAGCGCCTTGAGGTACTTGGACCCGTCGGTGTCGAGGTCGCGCCTCTCTGTTCGCCGACCAGGCCGCGCGCGCGCGGGCGGCGCTCTGGCGCGGTCGGGGCGCGGAGTTGGCGGCCGATGCGGAGGGCGCGCGCGAGCGGTCCGACCTCGCGCCCACCGACGGGGGGCATGTGAACGGGGGCCACGCTGACCTTCAGTTGGATGATTGCGCCAGCACAGACTGTGCCCCGGAGTCTTCTGGCACGTCTCGAATAGGGCGTCCAGGGCCCTCGCTCTCCTGCACGCGCGCTGCGAAGCGCTCCTCGCCTGGCCCTCGGACACGATCGCCAACGCGATGGTCGGGCTTCCCTGGGAGGGCGGGGGCGCGAGGCTGATCGCGCCCGTCTCAACGCCTGCTCGGCTCTGGGCGCGAGCGCGTCGCCCTCGTGCGAGCCAGTGGATCCCAGCCCGCCCTCGCGGCTCCATCGTCGGCTTGAAGAGGGGCGCGCCCTCGGTGCACTCGGCGTTCGGCCGCGACATAGTGGCGGAGATCGCCCACCCAGTATTGCAGCGCGTCCCCCTGCAGGCGCTGCGGGGCGAGGCTCGCGTCCTGGCCCAGGTCTATCACGTGGTGCGAGTGTGGCAGTTGCTTTTTCACTTCCGCGTGCCGAGGGCGATTAGCGCGCGCTGTTGTTAGCCTGGGCCAGTGTGCGTGCGCCAGAGCATCTTTGCAGGATGCACGCGTCGCGCTCGGCTTCTCGCGTTTCTGCCATATCGGACTGCCCTTCGACTGCGATGTTTGCAATATCGGTCCGCTATATCGGCTCGCGCGCCTCATGGTGGATATGACTACCAGAAGGGGCATGGCTTCTTCAATGTCCTCGGATACCTCATTGCGGCACGTTCAGCAACGCTGCTTATGGGGGATTTGAGTTCTATGATTCTATGCTGCGCGGCAAGTTCGATGACGAAGGACATGCAATCCGACCCGGTGCCTTTGTTCACCCAGGCTACACTTGCAAGCCCGATGCGCACATATATTTGTTTGTGGAGACATGTGCTCAGCTACGCATGTGTCCTGCGAATGCTTCCTTCCCGTTGCCGCAGCGCCAGTTGGCCACGTGCTACAACGTCGGCTGCCCAGCTGAACAAGATATCGAAGGGCGCACTCATTCTCAAATTGATGTCTTGGCTTGCGATCAGAAGTGGTGGACCATGTATGGAGCGTAAGGTCGCGTCCAAACGCCTCATTGTCCTCGTGCCACTTTTTGCTGAAAGCCCAGGCCCGGATCACTGTGGGCAAGATTTCGCCGGCTGGGCAGAATTTAAAACCAGATGCATGCAGCTTGATGGAGAATGCCACAAAGCACCACTTCACTTCTCCGCTTGCTTAGTCTTTGGAGGACTTCTCAGACTCTGCACCTGACCACGTGGATGTGAATCTGGCTCGGCGTCAGCTGGTTGACGGATTTTATCGTGCATCGACGAGCGCGCCACCGACGAGACCAGCCCTCGCCAGGAAGCCTTGGATGCGACCTCCCACCTTGGGACTCCTAGACAGGCGCTTTGCAGCCAGACGCCAGGGCCACATTGATGAAGAAAAGCGGCATGCCAAAACCATCAA